ATTGAGTATATCTATTTATTTAATAATATATAAAAATTATATAAAAAAATTATACAAAAAATTATCATTATATTACTATTTTTTATATTAAAACATTTAACCTTGAGGAGCGGGAATTTTCCCCCTCATTTTTTAGGTCAATAGTGTACTTATGTCACAATAGCTTACATGGCGCCACGCAATTTAAAACATAAACTTTTGTCAATGTGGTTAATGGTGGTTAACAGTGACTAACGGATGGTTAACGGTGTTGTGTGGAGTAGACAGGAATGAAATAATTTTGAAAGTTAATAGATGAGTTTGAAAGAAAATAAAGTATCTAGACTAAAATGAAAAAAAGGTGATAGTTAATAGACGATTTATTAAATTAAGCACCTTTAACACTGAAGCATAAATTGCGACTCCATGATTGTGCTCCATATTCTGATGCCTCTTATCATTGAAGTATTATTGGCACTTTGTAATATTTGCCTTTTATTAGACCTGATATTACTCATTTTGTATACCAAGTATATCAATACATGCACGCTCTTACTGAGAATCATTTTCAAGCAATGAAGCATATTTTATGTTATTTGAAGGGTACTATTCATCATGGTCTTCAACTATATCAGAATTCATATGATCCTTGCATATTAATACTAATGCTAATTAGGCTAGTTGTCACTACACTCGTCGCTCTTCACTCATTGCTCTACCTTTGGTTATTGTTTATTTTTTGGTCGTCCAAAAAGCAACACATTGTTGCTCACTCCAATGCTAAGGTTGAATACAAGACTATTGCTAATGTGATTGCTGAGGTTTATGGGTGAGCCAATTGTTAATTAGTTGAGTTGTAAGTTTATCTTTTCTCTCCTCCAATTGTTTATTGTGATAATTTTAGCGCTACTTACATGTCTTTAAACCTAGTTCAGTATCAACGAAGAAAACATATTAAGATTGATATTCATTTTATTGGGGAGAAAGTTACCTCTCATCTTCTCTCTCTTTAAATGTTCTTTCTTCCTTTCAATTGGAAAATGTTCTCACAAAATCATTGTTTGCACCAGCCTTCTTTTGTCAATAGTCCAATTTGTGTGTGCTATCTCACCCCACCCAAATTGAGGGGGGATGACAGTGTATATATTCTTAGGTATTTATACTTAAAGGCATCTAGGTCATTATACATGATGTGTATGCATATATATACTTTGTAACCCTACATTATAATGTGATGAGAATTCTATTCTGCCGTAGAAAAGGCCAACCCCCAAAATGCACCCTGTACCCTGAATAATTTTTTCCCTCAAATTGCACCATCTACTTGTTAAAACCAAGAAATTGCCCAGAAGTTAACCCTTGCCATACCCACATAGTCATTAAGCACTTTAGCCCATTGGATCGATGGATTCTTTTAAAACAGTGAAATTATAAAATCTGAATTTACCAAATAAAGCATATATAAATTTACAAAAGAAATTTATTAGAATATCCTGGTGTCTCAAATCCTAAATTTATATATGTGCCAAGATTCTCCTCTGGATTGCAATTCAAATAAACTTTACTATACACCATTCATCATATGTCTGTATTATATTGAAGTAGGTGACAAACCATAGAAAGCTCCATTCTTCTCAAATTATCTAACCTAGCCTGCAATTCGCTATCAATCCCATTGTCATCATTACTTGTTGCTTCTGCTTGCACAACCTTACCCTTCACAACTGGTGTAGCTATAGTAGGTGATGGTGCATTCACAAGCTGCTAATTATATTGGACAGGCAAAGTAAGTAAATCATTGCATGTTTTAGAAATGAAGGAAATGTTATTCACGCTAACTGAACCATGTAGAGATTTAAGGAAAGAACAAAAGTGAGATACTTGGCATGCAAAGCGTAAGTACACTATAATCTTTCCCATAAGGTTTCCTCAAGACCCGAAAAAATCCCACAAACTTGTTCACTAAATGAGTTGAATCTATTAATGGTTCATTTAATAAGCATTCAAGACCAGTATGTCTTACAATCGTGCACCTTGAATTGGAGTTGGTGCCCCCCAGGACCCTTGCGCTTGTATGTACCCTATCTCTATTTGTTGTCTCCATTCTCGTGGTCCACCTCCACTCAAGGGCCACCCTCTTGCTTAAAGAGGGATTAATTTTGAAGTATATAAGAAAAAAATTAATTTTGAATTAGACCACGATAGAGACACCCGTTGGTTCGACAGCCGGCGGGTTACACCTTATATAATATGTTTATTTGTTAGTTCTTGGAATAAGACCCAAACACCTCAGCGCTCGATCAGTTATTCCCATAAAAAGTGTCTATTCTTGTTACCAAACATGCTAGAATCATATGTCTTCCCAGAGAGAAAAGCATCAAACCTTTTGGTCCTTTCCTTCTGTTCCTCTCCCTCTCCCTTCACATATTGATTCTTTGGATGTAGATGCTTTGATCGAAGATAGGGAGAAGCAGATGTGGTTGAGGTCATCAGCTTGGAATCCTTCCAAGTAAGCTTGTAGGGGGTGCTGGGCTTGTCAGCTAAGGAGTGCGTGAAGAAATTCTAGGTTTAATTTCCATGTTCTTTTCTCTAATTTTGATTTTCAATCTCAACTTGGATGGATTTAGCTTGCAAGTTTATTATTTCAAAGTTTTGAATTGGAGAATTTCGGTTTCGATTAGAATCATAAGAATTTTTATTTGAGGCTAGGGAGGCTTTAGAGATTAGAATTTGGATGGAAATGGTGGTGGTTATGGCATTCCCGGTGGCAGTGGAAGTGTGGCGCCACTACCAAAAATTGAGAAAGACATTTCTAATGGTCAAACAAGATTTTCTTCCTCTTTCATGTCTAAAAAAAGACCCTACCATTCCTCAACCAAAACTCTTGAACCCCTTATTTATGGGAATTTCAAAGGACCCAAACGATAACCCAGAGAGATGGAGGTCGAATTTGGAGAAATAAAGCTTCGACAGATTGAATTGGCCTTCAAGACTAGGAATTTCGAAGTACACAAACGATAACCCAGAGAAATGGAGGTTGGATTTGGAGAAATAGAGTTTCGACGGATTGAATTGGCTTTCAAGACTAGGAATTTTGTAGGAGCCAAACGATATCCCAGATAAGCTAGGGATGAGTTTTTAACGCCATACAAATCTATTTGACTCATTATATTTTTTGAACCGAATGGTGCAGCTGAGGGTGTTGGTCAAGAGGGTAAGCACATCATTTTCCTTTTGAATTACATACAAATTGACTCAAGCATAATAACCGTCCACTAAAAAAAATAAAAATACTAAAAAGGTGATCCAGACATAGGGACGAAGCCAGAAATTTGAGTTAGGAGGGGCAAATTTCTAAATTCTTTTTCTAGTCATTTAGGTTCCATTTAATTATATTTTGTATAAATCATTTTTACAACAAATTTTTTTATAATTAATTAATATTTTATACTTGGTCAAAAAAATTAATATTTTATATACTTTTACTAATTTTGA